GGTTGTTGATTTTTGGGAATTTTGAGTGGAAAGATTCTCAAAATGACTGCATCAGTGAGATGTTGTTTGTTATCAGGTGACAGTGGTGAGAAGACAGATTCAACATCATTTCTTCACAGATGCAGTGCAGATAGTCAGTCTGTGGTAGTTTTACATTTAGATCATTTTCGTATGCAGGGGTACACAGAGAGGGGCAGCCTATTAATAACTGACTGAGTAGCCGGTTTTGGGTCTTTGATGGTTAAGCACAGCATGTTCAATGTGGAGTGTCCACTCTTACCTGCAAAAGTTGATGTGGTTGAACATTTTAAATTACCAGAAAGCAGAAGATCACATGATCAATTGTTTAAAGACTGAGACTAACTGACTAATCCATTGAAATCATGTGTGGTTCTGCTCGCTTGTAATGCAGCTACAGCAGCCTGTTCTTTTGGTTTACTGAGACCAGAAATTAAACATGGTGAAGGCATTTAAACAAGCCCATTGTTTTTTTTGTTTGTTTGTTTTTGAGATTTTAGTGGCAGTAAATTAATGGTAATAAATAAATAAAAAAAAATGGGCATAAAAATACATTGATGTTTTTATCTCCTTCTTGTCACTTTCATTGACTCACATGGTCTTGGAAGGCCTTTTGCTTAAATTGCAATCAAACCTATGTCACCATGACATTCACTCACTGGTTAAACTGTAGAGCTCAAATCACTTAACATTTTGACAAGTGTATCTGCCATCAAATAGCACACATACAAAGAAACATGACATACATTATAAACCTCTTGCCAAAAATGTCAGTGTTATTAATAAAATATTACTTTGCAACAATACTTTGGAAATTATACATGCACGTGCAGTTGTATGCTGAGGTTTGGTGAAATTACATATGTTGATTGTTGAAAGGAAAATAAGTAAATTATATAAGCTATTTTAAAAATCAGCACATTTTTATGCACAGTTACTTTATATTTGACTGATTTTAAAAATAGAAAAAAAGAAGCAATCCTGGACACTCGTCCAGTTATAAAGTCCTACACTTGCTGTCTGTACAAAACTGAAAGCTCTACTGAATAATACGGTTTAGCTTGATCTGCCTAATGACTGATACACGTATTATCAGCAGTGCTGGCTCTGCCTATTAAGTCCATGAGCCCCATTTTAACTTTGAGCACCTGCTCCTCTAAGGGTCTCTGCATGGCCTTGCATAATGAAGCTTATAATTACGTTCAACATTGTGCTTGGGTAATAAATGAGAGGCCCGGCCGTAAGTGTCAGTCCTTCTTTGATCCTCCTGGGTATCACGGAAAGGATCAGTGCACTTTTCCAATCCAGAAAGTCTGCAGATTCTTATCTCTGGACGAGCCGAGGCTAAGTTTGATGTGGGATCAAATGAACCTCACCTCACCCTCCCTCACAGGCTTGTCCAGTGAGAACTGGACACAAAGGTCATTTTACATCCTTATCAAATATATAAGTGTTTATTATAAAACAAGTAGGTAAAGGGCTGAAAACTGAAACAGAAACAGCTCATCTTTAGGATACCTTGGAAAATCCTAAGGCTGAATCTGAAATGGCTCACTGCTCCCTGTGTAGTGCGCTGAGTGAGTTGTGCACACATGGCTCAATCCAAAGTGGTTCTTTGTTAGACAGACTCTGCACTGTTCAGATGCAGTAGTCATTTTTTAAGACCTACGTTCTGCACTTTGTAGGGAGAAGGAAGCCATTTGAGATTCTGCCTAAAATAGTTCGCAGTAGTGTTGCGTCACCTGACTCAAATACTGCACAATGATTTGCTGAACTGATTTATCAGGTTCTCCTTGAGAACAGCACTGACATTTGACTGTTTCTTCTGGGAAACATGAACTGGCAATGCCTTTTTAATGGGCAATAACAGCTTTTGTAACAAAACATATTTAATCCTTTAATGTCCTCACCAAAATAAAAGCAATTAATTTTTTTATTTTTTATTTGTTTGGGGCAATAATAAAACCAATTGGTGTTTTTTATTTAAATCTTTTTGACCCCACAGTTTTTAAAATATTCAGAATTCATTATGTGTTAAGAATGAGGATAGCTTGTTTTTAAAACTATGCCGTTAATCATTTCTTGCAAATGAACTCTTCATGAGCTGTCCAGTATTTTGCATGTCCAGCCTTTGCCTTTAAAACCTCCTCCAACCATTTTGGGTATCCTCTGAGCAACTTTTGTGTCCTCTCAGGTGTAATTTTAGTCCATTCTTGCTGACATATTTGCTCCAGTTCTATCAGATTGATGGGCTGTCTGTAATGTACTGCTTTCTTTAAATCTATCCACAGATTTTCTGTTATATTCAGGTCAGGACACTGAGATGGCCATGGCAAAACTTTAACATTATTCTTTATAAACCACATCTTGGTTGACTTTGCTTTATGCTTTGGATCAGTATCTTGATGCAGGATTCATCTGCATCTCATTTTTTACTTTTTGACTGATGGTACGAGGCTTTGTTCTAAAATCTATTGGCATTGGCCCACATTCATTCTTCAATCCACCTTCTGCAGAGCTTCAGTCCCTGATGCAAACATACACCACCAAAATCAGTGATCCACCACCATGTTTTACTGTGGGAATGGTGTTCTTCTCCTCATAGGCACAGTATTTATTTCTTGCCACACATATCTAAGAGAATTATGACCAAAAAGGTCAGAGTTGGTCTCATCAGACTACAAAATATTGTTCCAAACTTCCTCTGGTTTGCTAATATGCTCTTTACCACACTCCAGGCATTCTGTGTTGTGTCTAGAAGTAAGCAATGACTTCCTGTGTGATTTTCTCCCAAACAATCCAGAGTTGTGTCGACTGGGTTTCACTGTGGAAATGAGGACCTTTACTCCATTTGCCAAGGGCTGTTTGTGTTGGATTCTTGCAGAACACTCAAACAATTTGCCTGGCAGTTTGTTCTGTCTGATTGCTACTGGAATGACAAAATGCTTTGATATCTTTTTATATCCTTCTCCAGCTCTATGAATTATAACAAACTGCTCGCTCCTGAATACCTACTGATCTGCAGATTGAAACTGCAAGTGTAATGTAACACATCAGAAGCCATTCGCGAAGCGTTAAGTGCAGGCATTGATTTTTAAAGCTCAGACACCTAATTTTATATGTTCAAGTTAAATTCTTTAAATGTCAATCAAAACATAAAAAGTTTTCAGAAGTAAAACACCTTCAAATGAGTATGTAATGTTATATATATATATGGCAGTTAAAAGGTTAAAGAATTTGAAAATCCTTTCTTTATAATTTTTAATCAATTATGTGAAGAGCTTGTCAGTGTAGGATTTTAGCTGTATTTCTCACTTTTTTTCTACAGAGAAAAAAAACAAAGACAAATATTTTATGACAAAAAAAATCACACTTTATTATCAGACTTGCTATAATTTTCTGCATATTATACCACTGTTTGTGACAGTCATGGTGAACAAGAGGATTCCACCCTGGCATATGTGTGTACACTGTAGAACACTTTGTAGTTCAGAATAAATTTTACTGTTTAATTAAAAACATTCACTAATTCTGTTCATCTATAATAAATTCAACTGTTTAACACAATTCAGTCTCAGCAATGACCACATTTTGTATTAATTTAGAATAAAAATCATTTTCAATAATTAAATTACATATTTAGTTTAAAAAAATTCTTAACAGTTTAAGCCTTTCATGACAGCTGACATACACTTTTTTTTTGACAAAACATTTATAAAATCTAATTCCAGTAAGCTGCAGTTGTCATAAACGTTAAAACGCATAAAAGTTTTTGCTGACATTAGGTGTCACAACACTTTCTGGGGTGAAAGGACATTAAACAAATTGACTTTGTAGCTCAGTGTATTTTTGGTATGTCAAACACTTGATGGTGATTATGTTACACAGCTTCACAAGTGAGACTGCTTGCAATATTAAACTAAAGCGAGCACTGCTACAAAGATGCTTTGACACTTATTCTGTTTATGTTGTGAGGGTTTTGACACTGATACTCTGTAATGACAGAGTTCTGTATATTTTCTCTGCTCTTTAAGTAAAGTGAGCTTCATTGTGCTGATATAAGATGTAATGAACAGTAATTGTGGAAATCTAGCATGAGTTATGTAGATTTTCTTCTATTTGGCTCTTAAGTAAATGAGCAGTTTGTGATCTAGTTTTTTGTTGAACATTTTGTCACTCAAACTGCAGCTTCATGGAGTCATGTTTTTCCTTTCTCTCCAGGTGGTGGTGCTATAAGACATTACTATCCCATACACAATATTCAATAATTGAAAATCTAATCTAGTTTGGCTATGGCTGTAACAAAAGCTGCATTCCTCTTTAAATCAACAATCTGATTGGTCAGCGCTCAGCTCATTTGCAGAGACAGCAAATTGAGCATCACCTGTGAGTGCTGCTCTGGTTTTATGAGTACAGCTGCATCTTGTATCTTCTCAATACAATTCAAATGGAAAAGAAAAACACTATTTAGGACAACATCATGATATTAATCAGCACCTCTAACTTAAAACACCTTCCTATATCTCTGCTCTGTAGAGTGAAATGTGGAGAGCTGTTCATTCACTTATTACTCCATGCAATCAAGACTGAACTGAATAAACACTTGCATAATACAGAATGTGTAGCCTGACTGGTGAGCAGCTACAAAAAGCAACAAAGCAAATGACTAAAGCAAGAAATTAAATGTAAATAACTTTTACAGACCACGAAATTAAAGCTAATGTTATGTAAGCAGTTTTTCTTTATAATTTGTGTTAATAATGTTTTTTTGTTTTTTTTTGAAAAAGAAAGCAAAGTGGTTTAGAATGGAATTAGTTAAAGAGAACATTGTGCTCTTCACTATTAAAAAACAGCACAGTCACAAAGAGTACAAACTTTCATCTTCAAAAACAATATAAAAGCATCTGGTGTTGTTTAATCTTTGGCTGAGTTTAAGAAGCTCAAATGTCATTTCCTGAGCAGATATATTATTTGGGTCTCTGTCAGATGGTCTGTCCCTCTTTCTCAGACACCTCTACCACATCATCATAGCCTGAAAGTAAAAGTTGTTGAACAAGTGACAAACATCTTAAACACAGGCATGATATCACTCCATATGTACATCATTATCATTGCAGTGTAGTTCATCATGTATGTAACGTTACAGTGATGCAAATCCAAGTTTAACTAACAGCACTCTGCAATGAAGTGTGAGAGAGCAAGAAAAAAAAAACTCCCACCTCAATAAAGTAGAAAGGAGACTCACCTGCTGAATCACCAAAATCCTGTCCAGGAGTGATGACATCATCATAGTTCTCTGGTGTGTACACTGTACAAACATATGTGGAAAAATTATGATACCATGAAGAATAAATATGGTTTTGTTAGTGAACAAATGCTGGTTCACGATATGTTCAAATGAATTTCCATTTTTTTGAGAAACAAACCTGCTGTAATGTGTAGATTCTCTCCAGCAGGAATGGCGTCATCATAAATCTCCACCTTGCTCTCTGTAAAAATGTGGAAATAAATGTCAGTTTTAGTTCTGATCATTTTCTCTATGTGTAAATCCTACTCTATCAGTTGTAATACCGACATTTGTTTATTCTACTCAAACCAAACCAAAGCTGCTTTGCTGCAATACAGACGAGTGATTTTTCAATGCAAGAATTACGAAACAGCAACACACTTGCTTCTCTAGCCGTTGTCTGTCCAGCAGAAATGACATCATCATAGTTCTCTGGAGTGTCTCTAGTTCCCACCTCACCTAAATCACATACAAAACATGTTTCACAAAGAGTTAATTAATCTTGTCATAAAGTCTTTGAATGAAGTGACCTCTATAAAGGCACCCACTTTTCAGGCTACGGTTGGAGACATCATCATAATATTCAGCCTTTTCCTCATTCACAGCCTTTGCTGGAAGAAAAATAAGAAAGTTAGTTTCTACGTCACTCCATCAGCCTGACGCTCTTGCAGAAGCTAATTTCTGGAGTAGTAACTGTGATATGTTCAAACTTCAGGAGAAACATGCATATTTCAAATCTTATGCATGGATGTCATCAGCCTTTTTGAAGACTAATGCGAGAGTGTCAGATTTAATCAGCTACAGAAGAGAAATCAACCATCTATACAAGCCTGGAAGTCCTGGCTAAAGATTCATTTGATTATTTGAGCATTTTTACAATTAATTACAATTCTAATATTTATCAGTTGAATGGAGTTTAACACACACGTGTTCTGGTCCTCTTACCTGAGAGAAGCTCCTCATCCACATCCTCATATCCTGAATGCTGTTCTTCAGAGAGGATACTTCCTGTTAGAAATGCACTCAGAATGTCAATGTCAAACAAAAGCACATAAAAGCTCCTATTAATCACAGTGAACTGTGCCCTAGCCAAAGTACAAGCCATATATAGAGAGAGCAAAAAGAAAACAAGCTTTAGGTGAGCCGTCAGCCATTAAAACTCAGGAAAGAGTGACCTCTACAGACGGGGAGGGGAATCTCCAGCCAAGAATGTGAGGCTCTCTCTCTGTCCAGTCACTTATTTCTGAAAACTGCTAATAGCTAATGCATTGCTAACTAACAGCAAAGACAGCAAGTTAACTGCTGTGTTAAAGTCTCACCATTTTCATCATCTTTGTTGTCACTGTTATCTTCTTTTGTAGCAGCTAAGCTGGTCAGCTATTACAAAATAATACCAGTTATTATGCTTCATACTAATGCAAAATAAAGTTTCTGTGAGTATTTGGCACAGCCCTCCTCATCATATATATATATATATATATATATATATATATATATATATATATATATATACATATTAGTTCTACACTTACAGAATGTTGTCCATCTGTTTCTCTGCATACTTTGTTAGCCCCCTTTTACCCTGTTCTTCAGTGGTCAGGACCCCATGGATCCTCACAGAGCAGGTACTATTTGGGTGGTGGATCATTCTCAGCACTGCAGTAACACTGATGTGGTGGTAGTGTGTAAGTGTGTGTTGTGCAGTACTGCTGGAGTTTTTAAACATTGTGTCCACTCACTGTCCGCTCTATTAGACACTCCTACCTTGTCAGTCCACCGTGTAGATGTAAAGTCAGAGACAATAGCTCATCTGCTGCTGCACAGTTTGTGTTGGTCATCCACTAATCCTTCAGCAGTGGTCACAGGATGCTGCCCACAGGACGCTGTTGGTTAGATATTTTTGGTTGGTGGACTATTCTCAGTCCAGTAGTGACACTGAGTTGTTTACAAACTACAGCACTGCTGTGTCTGATCCACTCAGACCAGCGCAACACACACTAACACACCACCAGCACATCAGTGTTACTGCAGTGCTGAGAATGATCCACCATCTTACATGTTTCCAGGAACAATTAGTTCCAATTGCATATTATCAACTAATTGTACTGACAATGATGTTTATTTTTATTATCTATTTAGGAACTTTAGGAAGCTCTTAACCTTCTACATGATTACTACTTGTCACATAAAATTTTTCCAGCCTGCAGCAACCAGCTCAACCAATGTTAGGCAGGAATTCTCACAAACTTCATGATTACTAACTCCAGCATTTTTAAGCAGACATAAAAAGGGATATCTACAATTTTCTCTAATCATTGGGAGCTCATTAGGATTGCCTCCAGTAGAATACTTTACATCATTTACCCTTTTTAGTCATTCTCTTACCAATGATTCTCTGATTGATCTCTTCATAGATTGCCTCAGTCAGAGTCTTATGCCTCCTCTTAGAGAGCACTGTGAGGGAGACAGAGAGAAACATGGAGCCAGTTCAGTAGAAGAGAAGACTGATGACAGATTGAAGGACTAATGATGTTTAGAGAATGTACAGAAAGTGGATTGTAGATGATCTCTGAATCTTTCTACCTCTCCTGAGCACTCTGTTCTGGTAAAACAGCACAACCAGAAGCACTAAGGCCAGGAAGAGCAGCACTCCCAGAACCAGGAGAGACACTGGATAGATGGATGAAACAGCTGGTGATGGAGTTTGTGGAGGAGTAACTGCTTCATTCTCTGTTTGACCAGCTGGAAATAAAAATACAGAATGGAAACTTCATGAAACATTACACTTAGAAAAGGTTAAAAAAATCACAGAAATGTATAAAAACAGTACCTGTGATGGTAATGGTAGTTATTCGGGATGTAACAGTGGGGGATACAGATAAATCTGTAAAAAAAAAAATCACTTTCTGTTATTTGAAAGTTCACTTTCAATATTACCATTGTGGTCACTCATAGGCAAACTAGTCTGGTATGAGAGTTAATCTCACTTCAGCCACTCTGGACAGAGACCTTTTCAGACAGAGAAATGCCTTTTGTGGAACGGAAATAATTGCAGTTTCAGTGGTCCCGTTGTCTTGCAGCCTGTGCCCCCTGAGCTCAGTACCGAGACCAGAAGGACACACTGCACCAGCTGAGTAACTGAGTAACAGCATGCTGAGCTGCTTCCAGGATGGTCCTCCTCAGTTTAGGATGGGCCTGCAGCCCGAAAAGACCCTAAATCTCCAGCCCCACTCTCTATACCTCGTTCAGGACTGAGCTCAACTCCTGTATGTTGCCCTCACTTCTGCTTTTCATGATAAGAAAAACAAAGACAACCAAACAAACATAAAAGAACATTAAAACTATTATGGTGATAAATAAAGATACAGTTGTAGTTTGTAATTCGCTTTTAGATATACAACTCATAAACTCTTTAGAAGTTATACAAGTTACCTATAAGAGCTGTATTGGAACAAGAGGGTTACAACCTCAGACTCTCTTTCAATGACATACAGCATGGGAACATTCAAAACTGCAGCACCATGATGGCAGCAAAATAGAATTATCCAGGTCTGACTCCACATTTCCTTAATTTCAAACAAATAGCAAAAATATTGGCAAATACACTTACATACACTTCTTAACTCATATCATCTATTGATTTATCTTTACTTCTGTCACATTATCTGGCCCAGTACTTTCAAAAGCAACATCAGCTGTTTACATATTGCTCAGAATGTTCTGTGGTCACTTCAGCTAATTATTACATGAGCTCTATTAAAACCTTCTACTCTTTCAAAACCTTCAAATACTCAAAGTGTATGAAATTAACCACTTTCAAATATATCACTGTTGTTAGAGGAAAGCTTTGTATCTCCAAAATGATAACTTTACAGGAAAAAGAAAAAACCTACTTTACTTTTAATGTAAGTCAATAGAACCAGACCTTTTTCCAAGTCATTTTACATCATTTATTTTGGTCCATTCATCATGAAATTCACAAACAATGTAAAGAGCAACAGGCATTTTAAAATTATTTCAAAAACTGAAAAAAGACAAGAATGAAGTCCAATATTATTCCATGGAATCTTTTAATAACCTCCACCAAGATGTTTAAGGACATCACACTAGTTCACAGGACAGTTCACACCAGAGGTGCCCAATCCTAGTCCTAGAGATCTACCACCCTGCAGAGTTTAACTCCAGCTCTAATTTATGACACCTGATCCAGACGATGAAGTCTTTCAGTGCTGTCTGACTATTAGGTGCTGCAGGTATGTTGAATGTGAACTCTGCAGGGAGGCAGATCTCCAGGACTGAGCACCCCTGGTTTACACTCTTTCATCATGGACCTTCAATGTGGAGCTGCCTAACACCTCCTCTAAAAAACTGCAACTCTCTTAACTTCAAAAATCTGCTTTTACACCAACAAACCTTTTGTGTCTCTGATATCTATGTATTTACATTAACAATACATGCAACAACAATGTAATTAATGATGTATTCACTGTTAAACGATTGCAGATCACAAGGTGTCTTGATAGTTGTAACAGTCTATTTTCCTTTATGTAATTACACATGCATAATGGGGTGAGTTTTTCTGAATGTACCAGCAATTGTGTAATTACCCATACTATGAGAATACTGACCCTGCATCTGTACAGGAAATGACAACTTTACTAAAGCAAAGAAAAGTCAAAGTTTATTTACATAGTGCATTTTACAACCGCTGTTGTCACAAAGCATCGTTACAATAAAATCCGGGTCTGGGCCCCTATGAGCAAGCCAGCAGCGACAGTGGCAAGGAAAAACTCCCTAAGAGCAAGAGGAAGAAACCTTGAGAGGAACCAAGAATCCATCTTCCTCTGGTCAACACCGGCTAGCAAAACAGCATTAGTATAAAGCATTGTAGTACAAAATGGGGAAAACTGGTGGAGCAATGGTTAATTAGATTAGTCTTAGTTTATGCAGCAGGCGGCAGCATACTAACATTTATCTCACTACAGTAGAATGCTTGTGACATCGCATGGTAATGTAACTAAACAAGAACACATGAAGTAAAATTATTGTTGCATGTATTGTTAATGTGTAACTACATAGTAATTAGAAACAGTGTATTTAAAATATGCATATGGTACTTAATAATGTGAAACACCTACCACTATGGTTGTGTTTTTAATGTTTGTTTTGTCTGTTTTTTTAAATCATTTTAATTAATTAATTATTTACTTTTTTAACTTCCTTTTTTATGCTTTGTACAGGCCCTTTCTAGGCTTTTTAACATTATCTGAACATTATTTTCTATCCATAATAAACTCCAGTAGAAAAATGTTGATGAGATAAACAATACTGTAAGTTACCAGACTCCTCTGACCTGTACAGGTGACTCCAGCATCCTGCCTGTGGGAGCAGTCAGTGTGGTTCTTCAGGGAATGAGGACAGTCCCACAGGTGAATCTCATTCCCTCTACACTTCACTCTGTTCAGCCAGATAGGCCCTTCACCAGCACCAAAGACAGCACTCCCATCAGCACTCAGCGCCAGCCCACAGCCCAGCTGCCTGCAGACCACCTTAGCGTCCATGATGTCCCACTGATCATCACAGACAGAGCCCCACTCAGCATTATGATACACCTCCAGCCTCCCAGAGCAGCTTCCATTTCCTCCATTCAGCCTGAGAGGCAGGTGCTCTACACCACACACATCACACATGAAGAGACAACAACAACAACAGTGATAATTACTGCATTTTCAAAACTCACAACAATATACAATATAGTAAAATTCAGTATATGTGTACTGCTACTGTGGGAAAAATATCTGGGATCAGCAATCACAAAATTGAAGCTTAGATGAGGTTGAAAAACAGTTAAGAATGTACAGTCAGATCTAAAAATATTTATACATCAGCATTATTTTTAGCAGTCTATCACAGCATATTGGAGTTGAAATAAATGAATGAAATAATAAATCTGACAGACTTTCAGCTTTAATTTGAGGGTATTTATCCCAAATCAGGTGAACTGTTTAGGAATTGCAACTATTCTCATACATAGCCCCAATTTTTACGGGCTCAAAAACTAATTAAAGATTATCTGTCATTTTTTATACTTGGTTGCCGATCCTTTGCAGTCAATCACTGTCTGAAAGCTCAAACCATAGACATCACCAGGTGCTGAATTTCTTTCCTGGGATTCTCTGCCAGGCCTTAACTGCAGCTGTCATTATTTCCTACTTGTTCTTGGAGTGTTGGACTGAATTCAGATGGCTGAAAAAGTCTTGGGTTGCTTTTCACAGTATGCTTTGGGTCATTGTCCATGTGCACTGTGAAGCATTGTCCAATGGGTTTTGAAGCATTTGGCTGAACCTGAGCTGATAGTATAACCCCATACTCTTCAGAATGTATTCTACTGCATTTCTCAGTAGTCAAATCAGCAATAAATACAAATAAACCAATTCCATCTGCAGTCATACATGCCCACATCATAACACTACCTCCACCAGGCTTGACAGATAAGGTAATATGCTTTGGATCATTTGCAGTTCTCTCCTTTCTCCATATGTACCTCTTCCCATCTGTCCATAAGATGTACAAGGTACTGTACTGTACCTGAACTAGGTCTTCTGTTTTTTGAGGCTTACCAGTGGTTTACATCTTGTGGTAAATCCTCTGCACTTACTTTGGCGAAGTCCTCTCTTGATTGTTGACATAGACATGCGTACCTCCTCTCTGCTCTTGATATGGTCATCTGTTGTGAAGGGGTTTTTCTTCATCAGGGAAAAGAATTCTTCTGTCATCCTCCACAGTTATTTTTGATGGTCTTTTAGGCCCTTTGGTATTTTTTGAGCTCACCAGTGTTTTTTCTTTTTAAGAATATACTAAATTGTTAATTTTGCCAGCTTGTGTATTTTTGATTCCAAATGCAAATGCCACACTTGAAATCAAATCTATACATTTTCTCTGCTTTCATGAATGTGATATATTGTGGTGCAACACTCATCTGGCCATTGATCAAAAACGCCTTTTGTTTAATTATTTTTTAGCCCCTAAAATGTATGTAAGTAAGTAAGTAAGTAAGTAAAGTTTATTTATATAGCGCTTTTTACAACAGGTGTTGTCACAAAGCAGCTTTACAAGGAAATGAGCATTACAAAAAGAAATCCGCGTCCAAGCCCCCATGAGCAAGCCAGTGGCGACAGTGGCAAGGAAAAACTCCCTAAGAGAAGCAGGAAGAAACCTTGAGAGGAACCAAAACTCAGAAGGGGAACGCATCCTCCTCTGGTCGACACCGGATAGTAAACATTGTTAGTATAAAGTATTATAGTACAAAAACAGGGTAAAAGGTGGCGCAAACAATTAATTTGAATAGTTTAGTTCATGCAGCAGCAGCGGCAGCAGCAGCAGCATCAGTGGGGTCAGGTTGTGGGGGTGAGGTTTGCACACGAGCAGTGGCACCCGATCAAGGCAGAAGAGGCAGCAGCTGTTCAACTCGGCCAAGCAAAGAAAGGAAAAACACACAGAGTCAGTTCTGCAATGGGTGATTGATTAATTTGAATTAGTTTAAATGATTGATTGGTTCAAGTGAATAATTTTGATTAGTTCATGTAGCAAGAGCAGTAGCATCAGTGGGGTCGGGTTGTGAGGGTGAGGTTTGCACGGCGTTGTACAGCAGGAGGCTCAATGTTGGTAAGCCGGTCCAGAGGGCTGGCGAGCAGTGGCACCCAATCAAGGCAGAAAAGGCAGCAGCATCAGACGCACAGGATGGGAAGCTTGTTCAACTCGGTGAAGAAAAGAAAGGAAAAAAAAACAGAGTGTCAGTTCTGTAATGGGTGAGCGATCACAAATTACAGTGTTAGCAGAGACTCTGGCAGGTATAGAACTGACAGGGAAAACTAATTACCAAAGGCTTGACTATACAAGTAAGTTTTTAGCTTAGACTTAAACACTGAGGCTGTGTCTGAGTCCCGAACATTAACAGGAAGATTATTGGGGGGCTTTGTATGAGAAAGCTCTCCCCCCTGACGTAAATTTATTAATTCTAGGTACTAATAGTAAGCCAGCACCTTGTGATCTAAGTAGGCGTGATGGTTCATAGTGAGAGAGAAGTTCACTCAGGTACTGAGGGGCGAGTCCGTTTAGAGCTTTGTAAGTCAGTAAGAGAATTTTATAATCAATCCGAAATTTAACTGGCAACCAGTGTAAGGCTGATAAAACTGGGCTGATATGGTCAAACTTTCTGGTTCTTGTAAGAACTCTGGCTGCAGCGTTCTGGACCAACTGAAGCTTGTTAAGGCTTTTGCTGGGACATCCAGCCAGCAGGGCATTACAGTAATCTAGCCTTGAAGTAATAAATGCATGAACTAACTTTTCTGCATCCTGTAGAGATAATGCATTTCTCAATTTAGCAATATTGCGGAGATGCAGGAAGGCTGTTCTAGTAATATTAGTTATATGTGCGTCGAAGGACAGATCAGGGTCTATAATGACACCAAGGCTTTTTACAAATAAGCTTGATGCAACTGAGAAACTGAAGTTTAAGTGTAAAAAGACAGTTTGTTTCTAGCTGCTTTTGGACCAAAAAGCAGAGTTTTATCCGAGTTTAGAAGGAGAAAGTTACTTGACATCCAGTCCTTTATGTCTTTTATACAGTCTTCAATCTTGCTAAGTTTAATTCTATCATCTGGGTCGCTTGCTAAATATAACTGAGTGTCATCGGCATAGCAGTGGAGGTTTATGCCGTGTTTACTGATAATGGTGCCTAGTGGTAGCATATATAATGTGAATAATACAGTTCCTAAAACATAGCCTTGTGGAACACCATACTTTACTTTTGTGAGAACAGATGATTCACCGTTTATATTAACAAACTGATAGTGATCAGTGAGGTAGGACCTGAACCAGGAAAGAGCTATTCCTGTTACCCCTACAAAGTTTTCTAGTCTGTCTAGTAAGATAGAGTGGTCTATTGTGTCAAATGCCGCACTAAGATTGAGGAGGACTAACAAGGACACATGATCTTGGTCAGAAAATAATAATAGATCATTTACAATTTTTACTAGTGCTGTCTCTGTACTATGATGTGGCCTAAAACCAGATTGAAATTTTTCGTGTATTTGATTCCTATGCAAATAGGAGCTTAATTGTTTTGCTACAACTTGTTCCAAGATCTTTGATATAAAGGGGAGATTCGAGATGGGTCTATAATTTGAAAGTTTGCATGGATCAAGGTTCGCTTTCTTAATCAGCAATCTAATTACTGCTAGTTTAAGAGATTTTGGGATGTACCCAAGGCTAAGAGAAGAGTTTATTATTGACAGAATAGGCTTGGTTATTTCTGGCAAAATTTCCTTGAGTAAACCTGTAGGAATCGGATCTAACATACAAGTAGATGATTTTGCGGAAGAGACTATTTTAACTAGATCAGTAAGGTAAATGATTCCAGCCTCTCTGCAGGGATTATAATATTTTCAAGGTTGGGGAAGCAGGTTTGTGGAGTTTAATTGTGTATTCTGAATTTTCTGCCTAATTTTTTTCAATTTTATCACTAAAGAAGTTCATAAAATCGTTGCTGCTATGTATGTATGAAAATGGATGTAATTCCTACATTGTTCATTGAACATAAATGTAAATACGCTCAAATTAAAGTTAAATATCTAATTTCAAATCCAATATGATGTAGTGAAAAGCTAAAATAACAATAGCTTTGTTGACATTCAAATATTAGGGACCTGACTGCACTGAGCATTAGAATGCAGAAACACTTGTCCTTAGCACATCATCTCATTTTCCAAACTCTGAACTTACTTGAGCATTGACTCTGGTTAGGATATGAGGAGCATTTCAGATGGTTTCTCAGGAAAGAATGTTTTTTCTGTCCTGTGAGTACAGGAAAAATAGCATTTATTTACTAACCAAATAACTCTTTTGTTCTCAAATACAACTTTAAAGACCAAAAAATCATACAGATTACCAACCAATCTGATTTCACAAATCTCAGATCTTCACTACTACTTCACTACTACTAGAGAGAGAAACTGCCTACCTGAGCAGGTAATGTGGGCCACCTTATTTAGATTATCACAGCTGTTCTGTCTCCAGGGGGAAGATGGACAATGCCACAGAGTGGAGTCATGTTTCCTACATTTCAGATCACCCAGCCAGTTAGGAGCTGATTCCACTCTTGCTTTGGTTTGGCTCAAACTGCCTGATCTTCCACAGTTCAGCTCTTGACAGATCAAACTTACTGTTTCTTCATCCACATCATTTGCACACACATTACCCCAGGTTCTATTGTAGAACACTTCCAGATTCCCCTCACAGCCCTCAGTGAGTCTGATCTCTTTAAACTCTGATGGGAGAAGAATTCTTCCTCTTAAATCTTGGAAGTATTTCAGAATCAACTTAATATTACATTTTAAATACAAATTAAGCAGAACACAACTTTTTATTGATAAATCAAAAAATAAATTCATATTCTTTGCTTTTATGAACTTCCTTCAAGTCAGTTTACACATTGTGAGCATTCCTTTCATGTTAATTAACAGATGTTAAGAATGTTTTTTGTTGTTGTTGTTCCTGTCCAGTCACTGCTTCAGAGAAAGCTTTTTTTTTAATGACATCTGTGATAAGCTACATCTTTACACTATCTACAAGAATGTCAGTCAGCACTTTACCAGAACACACGACTCCTACATCCTCCATGTGTCCACATTCATCCTCTCCACACAGCTGAAATCTGCAGTTCCACAGGGACATCTCATTCCCCTCACACTCCACCTCATTCAGCCATATGGGTCCAGTTCCAGGTCCAAACCGGGCTGGTACCAGAGCACTGAGGGCCACTCCACACTGCAGCTGTCTACACACCACCTGTGCATCCTCAATATCCCACAAGTCATCACACACTGTCCCCCATGAGCCGCTGTGGAAAACCTCCAGCCTTCCTGCACAGTCTCCCCCAGAACCAACCAGCCTGATGGAGCTGTGATCTAAAATTACACATATAGAAAAGTGATAAATAAAAGTCATAAAGAAAAGAGACTTTCAAGTTCTGTCCTATAAGAGTAACTTGTTTGTTCCAGATTCATAATGCATTTATTCCACATGATAATTTCTGGCATTATAATAAAATAATGGAGCATTTTCTATGAAATTTAGCCAAAAACATGCTTTTCTCAGAAACTTGACTTTTCTTTACCTCAGGATACACACTTTACATTAGGTTACATAATGGAACTTTCTCTGCAACTACCGAATAAGTTTTTCATCAGATGTTGTCAAACTAAGCCAAATTTCAACTTTACATAATGCCCATAAAACTTTAGGCAATTTTGCTCATATATTATGTGATCTAATCAGACAGAAGTTCAAAAATGCTGGCCTAGCCAAAAAGAACAGTACAGGCAACTAACAACAGTGGTTATGGTGTGTCCAGTCATGGGCTGAAGGTTTGGGGACCAGCCCTGTGTCTGGAAGGTCGCTGGTTCGATCCCCTGAGCCGACAGTACATAACTGAAGTGCTCTTGAGCAAGGCACCTAACCCCCACAGCTGTGGATAGGGCTGCCCACCACTGCGGGCAAGGGTGCTTACTGCCCCCTAGTGTGTGTACATTCACTAGTGTGCACGTGGTGTTTCACTGCATGGATGGGTCAAATGCGGAGGTGAAATTTCCCCATTATGGGACTGATAAGGGTCAATTAATCTTAATCTTAAACGTCCATATCAGACTTCTGCCACGTTAAAGAACTCCCATGAACGGCTCTGGTGGACATGAGGTTGTCAGTCACAGTGGCCCAGCCAGAAGCGGAACCTGCTAGGTACCTACGTAGGCTGAAGTCCAAGGTCTAGACTTTCTTAGAAACCATGGATGCTAAATGGACCTAGAGTGTGCCATGCAGTACGGATGTATGTATGACTCCCCAGCCTAAGGAGTCCCCCACCCCAATGCATCCCAGGAGGAGGGGGTGATTCCCAGTTCAGTTCAAAAACTTTGTGGTCCTCAGGGGACTTTTGTAAGGGGGTAGTGTATTCTGCTGAGGATTCTTATTCTGAAGAGTGGGGCTATCCAGCTGGCTGTGTTTATGCCTTAAAACAGGAGGAACAGAGTTAGTTGGAGCTGAGCGCTGAGAGAGTGCAGATGTGAATCCAGGGAGGACGACTGAGAGAACAGGATGTAGTTTAAACTCAGAGTGAACTGCTCTTTAATAAAGCACAAAGACTTTGCATAAACTAAGTCTTCTTTAACAGCGGTGAGTGCTATAATATATTTTATACATGTACACAGTGTCCATATACTTAAACATCTATTAAATATGTTTCATATACACTGACATGCCAAAAGTTATGGGAAAAGAACTAGTATTGTGTAGTATCCCCTCTAGCCCGACAAAGTGCAACTCAACGTAGCATCAATTCCACAAGTAGACCATAACGTCTAGAGATCCACCCACAGCACTGTGGTGTTTGTGGGTGCAGGATCTCTGGTGCGAATGGACATCTCCACCACGTCCCACAATGCTCCAGAATGCTCTTCAACAACTTGGGCCCAATGGCAGGGTGCATTATCCAATGGAATATCCCATCATTGTGAGGGTACATGAAGTCCATGAAGGGCAAATGGTCTCCAATCAGTGAAACGATCAATGACATGTTCAGGCTGACCAGTGGACCCAACCCATGTCATGAGACACATCCCAGACCAGTATGGAACCACCACCAGCCTGCACAGTGCCTTTTTGACAACTGGGGTCCATGGCATCATGGAGTCTGCACCCCACACAAACCCTACCATCAGTCCGAAACATTTGGTACCATGACACATTGGACCACACCACATGTTGCCAGTCCTCTAGTGTCCAGTTAGCAACCTCATGAGCCCAGGTGAGGCGTTGTGTCTGGTGTCATGGTATTAACAGAGGCACTCTGATGGGTATTCTGCTCCAATATCCCATGGAAGCTAAAGAACGCTGCACTGACATGCAGAATATGCATGTGTGGCCTCCTGCATTAAATGTGGATGTGATTTCTGCCAGAGTCGCTTGTCTGTTCGCATGGACTATTCTAGCCAGACACAGCCGGTCACGATCATTAAGCACCTGTTTTTTCACCCAATTTTCTCCACAATTTAGTCATATCCAATTCCACCCGCTAGTTAGGACTCCCCCAGTCACACATTACCACCAGCACTAGGAGGGCGAAGGGTAGCACAGGCTTCCTCTGAGACCTGTGAAGCGCCACCATGTTTTCGAGCTGTCGCTCACGCATTGCATTGGACAGCTGAACCACTCAAAATAAAGCACCACCTGCCAGCTCTGTTACGTCAGCTAACAGACGCCTGCACCGACTAGCATTACGCTGAGTGATGGGGTGAGAGGTGGGGCCAGCCTACCCACCCAGAGAGAGTGAGGCCAATTGTGCTGTCTTGGACTCCCAGCCACAGATGGCTGTAGCATCACCAGGAATCGAACTCACAATGTCCTAATGATAGGGCCAATGCTTGGACTGTTGCACCACTCGGGAGCCAGTTTAATGCTTCCTACGATAGTAATGCGTTGGTGGAGTGAACGCTGGGTTGTTTTTTTTTTCCTTTTTTTTTGCTGTGATTTGTGTTTAAACTTGGATGTATTGTAGTGTCATTTTGTGGTGGATTGCTGTGCAGGGTGCTTTACGTGTGATTTGAGTGATTTGTGTTATTAGGTGTATTGTGTGACTGATTCGCTCCCAACCAAATGATTATGTCCAAATCGGACCTTGCATTAACGACGGATGATTCAGTATAGAGAGAGATGCGACGAAGGTGGAGACCTTTATTTTAAAAGGGGACCCGGGAGAGTGTGAAAGCAGCGATTGCCAGGGAGCGATTGTCGGCGGCAGTTCCCGAGAGCACGGTGCAGCGAGAAGAGCAGGAAGCGGGCGGCGACAAGAGTTGCGGCGTGGAGAGCACGTGAACGAAGTTGAGAGCTGCCACATGCAACAGAGAGGCCCGGTTACGAGACAGAGAGAGAGTGAAAGTGGTTAAACGCGGCACCGCGAGAGACTCGATGAAAGCAGCGGTGAGGAGAGAGGAACGCACTTGAACGCCAGAGCCTCGATGAAATCACCAGCGTGCGGCGACGACAGCAGCGCCAATGAGCGGGACGAATAGAGGACCGAGGACCAGGCAACGCACCACTGGCGAGTTGCTGTAGGCTCCGGGTGGCGGTTGCGATCGCTACCTGGACAGGCGTGAGTATCTACAGCCATAGACCACTGTAGTCCTGTGTCATTCTGTAGTCCTCGTTATGCCCATATTAGGAACTCCGGGTCTAAGCTCCATTTCTCTATGGCCAGAATGAACAGGGTTTTCGAAAAATCATCTCTATCGCCCCCTGTGTTAAATAAAAATGTTCAGAGTGGGCTGTGCCGTAGCGCATATTTACAGGTATACTCGTAAATAAAATCTCTAGGTAGGATATTTTAATAGACTAAAACTCCTTATCAAAAATACTATCCGTGTTAAAACTACGCCATTTACGATGGAACAGGAAAAGTCAAACAAAAAGCTGGCAAATGTCCTCAGAGTTTCCAGCATTCAAATAAAAATTAGGATATTCTGAGAGCCTAAATCTTTTATCAGTTTATCAGGGGGTGATAACCTGCTTAAGGGGGCTGCCAGTCTAATGATGTGAATTCAGTGCGCAGTAGCTTTAGCTCACATGTAGCAATATTCATATTTCACCTCTTTAACGACCTCGTGATTCAGAGGATCCAGTGGTATTCGGGAGAAGAATGTTCACAGGACAAAACGTATCGGGTTCTGAACATTTTTATTTAACACAGGGGGTGATAGAGCCAATTTTTCAAAAACCCTGTTCATTCTGGCCATAGAGAAATGGGGCTTAGACCCGGAGTTCCTAATATGGGCATAAGAACATTGCGCCGACTACAAAATGACGACATGACTACAGTGGTCTATTTCTACAGTCTCTGAATGTAGTGGTGTGTAGTAACAGTGAAGAAACGATGATGGGCCAATTTCTTATTTGTTAAGCTGCCGTTGAGAACTTTACTTTCTACTAAGACTTTGAAGTTAGATGTTGGGGAGTCTTGATTTAAAGAATTTGTTATTGCCAGTTTGTTTCCTTGTTTTGGGCAGGTGTTTGCACCCATGCTGTGAGCTGTGAAGGACTGCTTGTAACTGCTTCCTGCATCGTTCAGAATGCTCCCAGGACTTTAAGCCTTTATTTTATGTTTATTTTATTTTTTGTTGCTTTGAATATTCTTTTTATTTCTTTTTAATGATTTTTAAACTTTATTAAAGAAGGGTAATAAATCCTCTCGAATCAGCCTCTGCCACCTGTCGAGTAACTGGACCGAAACTGTTTCCCCCCAGTCGAACTTGTATTTTAATATTTGTACTGGGTGTGGTTGGTGGTGTAAAACTGCTTTTTGGGGAGTTATGACCATCTAGCAGTTGGTTATTCTTTTATTATTGAAGTTCTTAATGTTATACACTAAATAAATAAAATTCTCCCTTTAATTCCTTTACAGTCATCTTTTAATTTACTACCACTGCCAGCCTCAGACCCCCTAACAAATGCTGTCTATGATGTATTCCCGGTACACACATGACACGAGATCGAGGAATGTTACATACCCGCACAACTTCAGAAATTAAATTTCCCATCCGTCTGGCACCCACTATCATGCCTTGTTCGAACTCTAATAATTCATGTTGCCTTGCCATCAGCACACTAGCCAGTGTTCAGTCTCACTCACAAGATAACACTTCACAACTTAAACCAGTGTGGGCGTTCCCAGGCTGTCCCCTAAGGCAACACCAATTTACATACTGCTATCCCATGACTTTTGGCATGTAAGTGTATTTACGTATTACACACAGTGAATCACTGATAGTAGTAGGATAATTAGTGCAGTATCGATCATTACTTTCCCTTCAGGTTGTGCTAAATTATTGTGCATATTTTAAAATGAGCTTACTGAAATGTTAGATAAACATATAAATCATCAAAAATGTAAATTTCATACAGTAGACGATAAAATAATATGCTTAAGGTTGCCAGTTTTATTAATGTGTTCCAAACTAATTCCAAAATACATACCAGAGCAGGTGACTGAGAGCTGTTCTCTGGAGCTGCAGTTGACTGCTTGTGCGCTGCTGCAGTTCCCCAGATGAGCTTCACTCCCAGAACAACTGAAACCCATCACACACATGTGTCTGTGTTCAGGACTGGATGTAGAGGAGCTGGAGAAGCTGATCACAGAGCCACAGTCCAGCTGTCTGCAGACCACAGAGGCCTCAGACTCACTCCAGGAGTCCAGCAGAACTCTCCTCCAGTCCTGCCTGAAGTACACCTCCACCTCCCCCTCACACTCCATCTCTCCAGACAACCGCACTCGCCCCTCATGAAATGCCAGAGAGGAACCTGAAAGGATTTTTTTTTTTTGATTTTTGATTTTACAAATTTCATGATATTCCATTTTTAGATTCTCATGTGAAAAATATCTGTATTTTCACTCACACTCTTTACATGGCTGAACAAACTCACCACTGCAGATGACTCCAGCATCCTGTTTATGAGAGCATGCAGTTCGACTCCATGATGAAATGTGACATTTTGACAGGTGTGTTTCGTTCCCTTGACAATCAAACACATCAGCCCAGATCTGGCCACTCCCCTCCCCAAACCAGTCTGATCCCAACACAGCCACAGCACTCCCACACTTCAGCTGACCACAGAGGACACTGGCAGCTCTCATATCCCAGCTTACATCACACACTGTGCCCCACTCACTGAGGTACTGGAGCTCCACTCGACCAGAACAGGAGTCAGAGCCGTTCACCAGCCGAGCCTGAGTGTGACCTGAGAACACAAAGAGTTTATTAAAACAGCAGTTAAACAGAAATGCAGGTACAGTAATAACTATAGCACAACATGAAGTAAGTAAGTAACAGGGCCAGGTTGTTAAAAATTGTTGAACATGTAGTGATGGTGTTATGAAAGTACTGATGTACAAATAAAAATTTTATTGCAGATAAAAACTACATAAAATAATGCAAAAAGTATAAATCTAAAGAAATATGAAAAAAAAATGTCATGGGAAATGTGTGTCTCTACTCCTGATTCCAGAGACCTTTTTTTCAGCAGGTAAACGGAAAATCCTAAATTGTTACTGCCTCTAAGTATGACAATAACAACCACAAACTAAGTTTCGCAAGGCCCCTTGTTTACAAACGTCTGCATTTCTTCACTGCTATTTGATTTACACTGAGCAGATCACTTCGGCAGTCAGAAAATGTTCCTCAGTATTGCTCACATAAAGTTAAAATAGTTCATGAAGAATTGACTGAGTAACTGATGATAATTTCCATGAGCACTTTGACACAACAAAATATACACATAAAGGTCAACTACATGTGTGACTGTTATCTTATTTACATTCACACAGGATTAATTTCTCCTAGCATGTGTGACAACGTTTTTGCATTTTTCAACTCTGATTAATATCCAACATTGAAAAGCTCAAATATTATACTTAACCAGAACATATTAGTCCCACATCATTGTCATGGGAGCAGTTGGGTCTAAGTGAAGATGATGTTGGACAAAAGGTAATCTCAGATTCATTTCCCCTACACTGAAGCTCCTCTGACCACACCTGACCCTCCCCTCTGCCAAAAGCAGCTGCTCCCAGCACCTCCACAGGAAGCCCACAGCCCAGCTCTCGACACACAACCTCTGCATCCTGCTGGTCAAAGTCTGCATCACACACTGTGGACCAGGTCTCTCCATGAAGCACCTCCACTCTCCCAGAGCAGAGATGAGGACCACCTGTAAGCCTGGGCTTTCTGTGACCTGTGTGTGATGTAACACAAAACACATGTGCATAACACAAACAAAAGTGAGAAGTACACAAGGAGATATTTGCTTAGACAGTTTTTATTCCACATGAATCTACTTAAAGTTTACAGGTTGTGTCCAGTAGATTTTGACATTATAGTGGATATCCAGATTCTAAATAGGCATTGACTTTATGTGCCAAAAAACAAGGGCAGTAATGAACAATTATTTTATTTATTTTTAGGAAAAACTGTTCCTAGCAATAGTTATACATTGTAATTGTCATGTGACTCATATCTGTGTAACTTGAGGTTTTGATTTTATGTTGTTAGTCAGTTTGATCAGAAGTTATCAGGAGGGAGGGAAATTTTAATTTCCATGTTTGTTCAAAATTGGGCTTGAAATGTTATCATTTTTGTCAATTGCACTTTCCAAAAGTCTGAACTCAGTTTTAATATACTGCCTCAAAACCCTACATTAATGTGTCTGGAAAGAATTGATAGAGCACAATTAGCAAAACATTGGACACACAACATCGCATAGACGCAGTCCTTATTCAACTATGAAATGCAAATCATATGTTATATTTTTGTCAGTCGGCAATGTTCATTCCACATTCACACTGGCACAGTTGTTCATTGTGTAAATGTTTGCATGAAAAAAAATTACATATAACGAGAATTTTGTTTGCATTAATAGAAGTCTGAGTAGTAGTGAAAGTATGGGGTAGTGATATGGTAAGGGGAAGAGGAGCGTGCAGAGAATAGGGAAGAGGCAGGGGACAGAGATTTTCCCCTAAATTCAGGGAAATTATTTAGACTTCTTACTTTTCTATGTTGAGTTTATTTCAGTTTGTATTTTTAAAATCAAAGCAATATTGCAATTTTTCACTTGGGTCATTCAGTATCAATTCATCTAGTACCTAGCAGGTCATGTGTTTCCATTAAACACTTCAACCAAAACATTTTAAGAAAATTTCACAGCTGCTAGGCTTGTTTAATTTAATGTTTCTTTAATTTGCTCAATTTAGTTCTAAATCACATTTTAAATATTGAATATAACTGCTTACAGAATGACTGAAGTGAACTGAAATATTCAATGGGTATAAACGCAACAATAATAATATTGCAATAAGAATAATAATTTACTAGATTCATGATACTAAACTCCCACAGCAGGTTAATGGATTCATATCAGAGCATATTTCCTCTGTTAAGTGTAATCTTATAATGTGAACATTTTTGATGAATTTATGCACTGTTTATGCAATATTTAGTATTTCCTCATTTCTGAATTGTTAAATTGTGCATGCAGCGTTTGTTCAGAAACTAAAATCCATTTCACCCATTTACTGCATATTTTCTTAAAAGTGACTAATCCTATTTCATTCAAACATTTTTTTCTGAATTAAGAAAATTATGTCTCAATAACAAATAAATTAAAAAAGTAGCTATGACTTCTTTAAGGTTAATTTTTAGCGTTTGAGTAAGACACATCATTCCATGGCAACTTTTGAGAAAAGGAAAGTACTCAGGAGAGACTACTGTAAATATTACTTTTCTATCTTTTGTGTATGATACCATAATTGTCATTATTATAAGTTTACTATTATAATAATAAGTTTATTATTATAATAATGACAATTATTATACTAAAAATACACTATACACTATTGTTAGTTATTTGATTTATTGTATTTATTGTATTTAGGGGCCTGATGTTTGAATGAATTATATTTTTATAGATTATGGAAAAAATGATGTAGAAAACTGTGTTAATGGGTTTTATGTGTGTCATTACTCATACCTGCACATAATGACTTTGATAAACATTATATAAAATACTTGTGTAATTCTGTGTAAATAATTTTTAAAATTGGTAATAAATGCATTTATTCTGTTTTAAATGAGACTTTATGCTTCATGCTACTTTAAGTTACTTTTAAATGTTTAATACAATTCCTATTCATTCCTATTTCTGTTTTGCATAGTTAATGTGTGTGTGTGTGTGTGTGTGTGTGTGTGTGTGTGTGTGTGTGTGCGCATGTGTTTTATTTATTTATTTAGGCCTTGTCATGCCTGCATAAGTGCAGTCTTTTTACTATATAAACACTGAATTTCTTATTTGATTGAATGCAAGCCCATTTGTGGCCATTTGCTATTTTGGTGGTCATAAATGATAACAATTGCAATAATGTGGCTGGAGTGGTGCAAATCTGCTGGTGTAATGTATTTTAAGCTCATACTGGTCCAATAATGAACTGACTGCTTCAGGGGGAAAAGGATGCAGCATTCAGGAGAGGGCACAGTATTCTCTATACAGAGGCCAAATACAGGCTGGAGAAAAGGATTAAAGTAGCAAAGAAAAAATACCCAATTAAGCAAAAAGGCAGCTTGGCTGTTAATGTCTTAACTTCTGCTTAGAAAGGCTTACAGGAGATCACCAACTACAAGGTTAGAAAAATTCTCTTTTCCTGAACTACTGCTAGCTCATCAAAGACCTCTTGTACTGCAGATTTGAAAGTGGAAGTCATAATTATCAATCTTTCTGTCCCAGTACCCAGCCCTGCCCTATCCTAGATCTCTAGGCGAAAAAAAAAGCTCTAGGGCCAGACTTAGCCTCTTCATCCATCCTCTGTTCCCACATGCTTTGAACCTCTATCATCATTCCAGCACAAATAAATACATATATAGAAAAGCTAGGAAAACACATATCAGACACCTGGTTGCTCAGTACTGGAGTACAACAAGACTGTATGCTCTCACTCCCTCTTTTCAACCTCTACACCAGTGACTGCACCTCCAAGGAGCCAGCTGTGAAGATCCTGACTTTTGCAGACATCACCACCATGTTGGGCTTCATAGCCAATGGTGACCTGCCTACAGAAATGAAGATGAGCAGCTCATCTCCTGGTGCAGCAGCAGCCACCTGCTCCTCAACATGCAAAAGACGATTAGAGATGACGGTGGACCTCAGGCTTTACACTCAACATCAATGGCTCTGTTGTTTCCAATGTGGATTCACTTAAGTTCCTGGACACCACCATATCCAGGAGCCTGTGTGAGAGGAACATGTTCCTCATCACTAAGACAGCACAGCAGAGAATGTTCTTCCTGAGACAGCTGAAGAAATTCCACCTGCCACAGAGCCTGATGATCTAGCTCTACAAAGCGATCATCAAGTCCATCTTCACATTATCCATAACCATCTGGTTTGGTTTCTCCACCTCACAAGAACATTCCAAACTTCAGTGCATAATCAGGACAGTGGAGAAGATCAACATAAGTAATCTGCCAGTGCTTCAGGACATCTATAGCAGCAGTGTGATGAAGCATGCTAGTAAAATTACAGCTGACCCCTCTAATCCCAGACATCACCTAGTCCAGTCACTTCCCTCTGTATAGACAATCGGGGCCATCAAAGCCATCAAAACAGCTTTTTCCCCAGAGCTGTAGCTTTTGTTAACCATAGTGGACACCTCACACTTTAAACTTAAAAAGAAACTAGCAAAACTTTCTCACTGTATTACAGTATAACTCCTAGTGTAGTTTTAGTTTATTAGATTCAGATCTGGTGACCAGAGAGGCCAGTGAAGGTCTATTATCTCACCCAAGCCCAGTGGGGCTTCACAGAGCACTGGGACCTTTTCTTTTTCCTCTTGCCTCTCTCGCTCTCTCTCTCGCTAAAATTATACATATTACATAAAATGATACAATAACTTGTCCACTTTTGCATTTGTGCACCTTATTGCCACTTTAACTTTTCCATTACAGCTGTGTCCTCCCAAAAAAAGCTGTTCCCAAAGCTCTTACTTATGTTCTCCTTCAGAGAAGAAACTACCCAAACACACCTTCGCTGCCCCACAAATTTCTTTCTCTTGTTCGTCAAAATGGCTAAAGGAGATGTTTCTGAACAAATTAGATCTAAAATAATACAATTCCATAAGGAAGGAAAAGTTATAGAGAAGGTAGGAATCCTAACAACCATGCAAGGCCAGGCAGACTTCCAAAACTCTCCAGATAAACAGTACTTAAAGCTTACGTCTTTGAGACATCAGTGAAAATCCAGCTCCAGCTTCAGATATAAGAAACACATTTTTGTTCATCCTGAGAAGACTCACTATAGGTCTGAAAGGATGTGTAGCTGTTAAGAAGCCATTACTGACAAAAGCAAACAGTAAATCTTTACATGAAGGGTCGCAAATTAGTTGATAATTATATGCTAATAAATATTTGAATATTATTTGTATAGTAATTCACTGCTCATTAATCATTAGTTAGTAATTAGTAGTTGAGTACACTTTAAACTGATAGTTTAGTTTGCCATTTGTACACAGCTTTTTTACTCATTAACTGTGTTTTAACTGCTGTTTATTTAAGCAATAGAACACGAGAGGGAGTGAGTTATCGCAAAACGATATCACCGCTGTGATTTGGTCGCAGACATGAGCTGAAGGCAAGTACCGAAGATCATCACAGCCGTGATGTTATTCGCGATAGCACACAACCTCAGTGTTCTATTGCTTTTATACAACAGTTAAATAAATAAAGTAAGTAAGAAATAAATAAATTGGGCCATCAACGTGGCATTCAGTATGTTTTAATGTGACAAGTTCCTTCCGCCAAATTATTGTTCCTTAACAAGCAGCTTTTTGCTGCATCAGAGTAATGAACTCCACTCACTTGCTGCACAGTATGCTGTAAGCCACGCCTTTTAAAGTACAGACTGAGCCATAAAACTGCCACAATATCAAGTTTAGCTCAGTGTTGTCATTTTTGCTAGATCAGTCATTTTTGCTAGATCAATATTTATGGTTTGTTCGTACCAGTCTGTAAAGCATCTTACAGTACATTTTCTTTGGTGAATGGTATTCAGTTCATTTTTGGCTGATTGAAGGTTGTTTAGGTGTTCTTCTGTCACAGCTGCCGACTGAAAACCTTGCTTAGTGGTAATGACAGTTTCGGAATTTAGTATAGTCTCATCTTCAGAGACAGCGGAGTGATATAGTGTTTGTG